TCAGCGTGCTGAGCCTCTGTGCCTCTGCCAAGCTCATGCCAGGGCCTGTGCTTTGGAGGCGAGGGGTTGTCTGAGCTTGCTCAAGGAGCAGAAAAAGGTTTAACTTGATTTAGTTTCCAGAGGACAGGAGCTGGCACACAGCTTAGGCAGCCCTCGCTCCCCAGCGTGGTGCTCCAGTGGGGCAGGTCCCCCCTGTGCTCCATGGAAGGGGAATGTGTGGAGCTGCCCAGAGCCCTCTGGAAACCACCACTGGCAAAATTCCTCGTGCTTGTGTGGAAGTTTCACTTTGTTTGCAGGCCCTTTTGTTAGGGAGATGTGCTGTTCCAAACAGGACTTGGCCTCTGCGTAACAGCTGCATTTGCTTTGTTGCCAAACTTTCTTTTGGTCGCTTTGTCTCTTTCTGGCCTTATTTTTAACACTTGGTGTTTGCTTGGAGCAGGCAGCTCTTCCAGGTGGTTCTGAAGGGCAGGTGGGTATAGGTGTGTGTGTTGGGAAGGTGCAAACCCTTCCTGCCATTTCTAATCCAGTCCAGAGCCTGATTTCTCAGGTGTCTGCAGCTTCCCAGCCTTGGCCCCTTGTGCTGCAGGAGCTGGGGGAGAGGAGAGATTCCCATCTCCTGGGCTGCTCTGTCCTTGCTGGTTTCTGGCACAAAGGAAAGCCATGTACGTTCTGCAGTTCAGGATAGGATAAAAACCAGTCATCTTCTCCTCTTCCCCTGTTGCTGCTCACTAAGGAAGCAAGCTCCCACAGAAGCTGCTGGTATTCCCCTTGGATTTCACATCCCCTCCTTACCTTCCTAAGGTAAGACACTGGTAACCCTCACCCTGTGCTCTGGCCCCTCTGTGCTTTGTGGACAGATGGGCTCAGAGCCTCACCAGAGCCACTCCTGCATGAGGCTGACATAACCTACCTCCTTGCCTTGGTCCTTCCCACAGGGACTCACACCCCAGGCCCATTCTGGGCAGCATGGGGCTCTGCAGGGAGATGCTCCCTGGGCTCTTTGGCATTCATCTGTGAAATGAATCCATGGTTTCATTTCACAACTCAAACAGACCAGGAAATACTTGGCGCTGTTTAACCAAGAGTATAGAGATGGCCTTTGCTTCATCTTCCTCTTCTGGCTTGCTTCAGCTGCTTTTTGGAGAGGTAACCCTGGTTTTAGAACCAATGCCTGGATGTGCATTTGGAAAGCAAAGCCAGGGTCCTTTTCTATGTCAGCTTCATTACTAAACAGGGGTGACTGGAAGTGTTGGTGAGGGCAGGAATGTCTGTGTTCAGAGGGCTCGAGATCCTGGGCTCCGAGTCAAAAGGAATTAATAGTAAATTTGTTTTATTAACGTCACTGTTTTTAACATAGAGCATTTCAGCATGAAGCACTTGCTGACAGTGTGGTTGAGAGGGTTAGGCACTGACTTGTACCAGTCTTAGCTTCAAACACCACACCAGATCCCTTCTTTTTTCCCTAGGGAGGTGCAGTGTGCCTCAGTAGAGCACGATGAGCATTCACTGAAGTGAGCTGTTGAACCCTGAAATAGAATCTTTGCTCCCTTTTTTCCCTTCATTCCTCAGGAGTATAATTCCTAGAAAAGATCTTAATGCAGACTTAGCTAGGAGCCCCATAACCTGCAATTACTGCACTATGAGGCACTACATCCAGTTTGTAGCTAGTGTGTAAACCAGGATTGCCTGGTAGGTGCCCTGCTGCCCGTGTGAGCAGCAGCAGCACCATTTCTCTTGTGTAGCTGCTTTCTACAACTGGCTTTGGTATGTTTGTACCCCAAGCAGAAGGCTGTGAGTGGGGACCAGCCCTGCCTGCACCGGTGGCCTTGCACAGGGGCTCCCTGTAGGGCAGGGATGGATTTGCCACAGGAGATTAATGACTGTTCTTCCTATAGAAGACTTGTTTCTGTGGGACCTTGGTTATGTCCCTTGTATCAGAAATGCAGGGAAGAGAAGAATAAACCTGGGATGAGCAAGGTGACCGGATGTCTTCTCTTCCTTGCGCTGGGTGTTCTGCTCCAGCTCAGAGCATGGGGGGAGCAGAGCTTTTAGGTGCTGGGACTGGGTTTGGACAGCTGGTGAGCCAATTCTGAACCTTCACACCAAGGAATCCTGCACTCACTGGTGGGGGGAAGGAGAAAAGAGGTTTAGGGAATGCAGGGTGGTGGGACAAGGCTGCGCTTTGGATTTTAGAAGCTGCCCTAAGGACCAGCCATGGAGCTGATACGAGGCTTTGACAAGGGATGTAGGGACAGGCCAAGGGGAATGGCTTGAACCTGCCAGAGGGGAGACTGAGATGAGCTCTTAGGCAGAAGCTCTTCCCTGTGAGGGTGCTGAGGCGCTGGCACAGGGTGCCCAGAGAAGCTGTGGCTGCCCCATCCCTGGCAGTGCTCAAGGCCAGGTTGGACACAGGGGCTTGGAGCAAGCTGCTCCAGTGGAAGGGGTCCCTGCCCGGGGCAGGGGTTGGAGCTGGAGGAGCTTTAAGGTCCCTTCAATTCAAACCATTCCATGGTTCTGTGATAACAGTAGCTTTACATTAATGACACAGGCATTGTGTTCATCCTCTTGTCTGGCTCTGGAAGCATCCTTGTAAGAGCGAGGAGCTGTGCCTGCTGCTGCTGCAGCTCCCCCCCGGCTCAGGTCTGGTGCATGGCAGCACGGTCCTTCGCTGCCTGCCCTCACCATGCCCACGGTGCTGTGCTCGCTGTGGTTCCATGCCCGTGGTGCTCGGGGCCAGCCCCGTGGGGAGCAGGGGGGGGCATGGGGCTCGCAGTCAGTGTGCAAGCGCCATTGTTTTGACACTGAGGCATATGGCACCGTCAGGGAGAGCAAAGGCAAGGAGCAGCAGCTGCTGCCGCCGAGGCAGAGCTGGCAGCAGGCAGCCAGGCCTGCACCGCGCTGGTGCTGAGCCGGGAGGGGTGGACAGACCTTGGTGCTGGTGCTGCCCTGTCCCAGCCATGGGCTCCCACCACTGCTGCAGTGCAGGCAGAGTGTGCTCGGGAGCAGACGGCTCTTCTCCCTGCTCCTCTTGTGTTCCTATAGACTCTGCCCATCCCCTGGCTCTCACCACCCACTGGTCTTCCCTCTGATACCACTGTTGGGCACAGCCTCTTGGCCTGTGCTCCACACCAGGGCTGGTTGAGGTTGGGATGGAGCAGGGTGTGCTGGGCTTTGGTCACCACATCCCTGAGCAGAACAAGATGAGGGATTCCTGCAGCTTCTCTTTGTGTGGGTGACCTGAGGGGGTGATGGCTTGGTCAGAGTTACTTGGCACTGCCACTCCTGGGCTACTGCTCCTTAACTGCCTGTTCAGAGGTGATGTTGGGGCTGATTCTAAGGTCAAGTTCTTTGATGCTTCCCCTGGGGTGGTTTGAGCCTCTCCATGCACATCCTATGGAGCTGCTGGAGCAGGGATGGGGCAGGTTCTGCCAGGCTGCAGCAGGGGCAGAACTTAGGGACTGAGGCAGCCCTTTCCTTGACACAGACAGCTCAGTCTGCTGCAGGGATGGTGGCTCTTACCCTGGGGTGTCATAACTGCCCACCCAGCCTTCTCTAACCAAGTTCTTCCCCTGTTGTAGCTTGAGCTGTTTGGATGGGGAGTGTTTTCCTTTGACCACTTCCAAGCAAAATGAGTATTCTGGGGGCCTGCAACTGCAGGTGGCAGATGCTGTCCCTTCTGCTCCTCCAGCTTGAGAGGAGGAGTGCAGGACTGCTGCAGGTTCCCCATCACCGCAGCTGGGTACCCCAAAACTTGTCCGTCAGGCCTGGGGATGGAGAGGGGCCACGCACACTACGAGTCCTCCCTTTGGTGCACGAGCAGAGGAAATGCTGCCTTGGATAAATTTCCATATGACTTGGCAAAATGTATGTTTGTGTCATTTCTGCAAGAGCAGCAGCCGGCTCTGCTGCTTACACATCGTGGCAGTAATAGAGGTGCTTGAGTTATAGTGAAACTTATTTCATTTTACAGCTCCTACCGCGTTAACAGATGTACAGGCGTCTGATCCAATCATGCAGCAAGAGATTTTGGGGCCAGTTCTTCCAGTTTTGACAGTGTAGAAGCTAGGAGCAGCCATACATTTTACAAACAAGAGTAAACGACCCTTAGCAACATATGTCTGCGCTGGCAGCTCCAACGTAACCATAAATAAGGAACCCTGCTAGGCAGGAATGTATCTGGGCTCTGCCTACAGTCAGTGTTGGACAAAGCATCTGCCTTCCTCCCATTATATTAATGAGGTGCAGGCACTGGAATCCCTATGCCGTACGGCTGGATTTGCTGGCTGGGGACAAAGGACTTGGAAAAGCAAATGCTAATGCAGAGCAAGGGAGGTTTATTTGATTTAAAGGCTCTATTTCATTTTAGTGATGCTTTATTCCTGCTTTGCCGTCTCGCCAGTTCTCTTGTGCATTACTGGAGGTGGCTCCAGGGCCATTGGCAGATGGTACCAAGATGTTTTCTCGCTGCTGCCCATAGCACTAGGTCCTGTGGTCATGCAGTTAGAATCATAGACAGGTTTTGGTTGAAAGGGACCTTAAAGCTCATCCAGTCCCAGCCCCTGCCACGGGCAGGGACACCTTCCATAGAGCAGCTTGCTCCAAGCCCCTGTGTCCAACCTGCCCTTGAACACTGCCAGGGATGGGGCAGCCACAGCTTCTCTGGGCACCCTGTGCCAGCACCTCAGCACCCTCACAGGGAAGAGCTTGTGCCTGAGAGCTCATCTAAAACCCTAATATCTAATCTAAAAAGCACCAAGGTCACCCCAACACTGGTGCTACAGCATCTTTGGGTAGAAAGGGAAAAGAGGAAGCTGGGAGCTGAGTGCACCCTGATAAATTTAATCTCTACTTCATGTTAAAGTGCAGTAGCTGAATTAATTTCTCCTTGCAATCAATACCAGCTTTGGTCCCATTACAGGAGTGAGGTTTCTTCCCCCCAGCTGGAAAAAGAGATGCTGTAACTCCATCCCAGAGCTGATTTATAAAGCATTCATGAAGAATTTATATTGCAAAGGATTTTATTCAATTAAACTTGAAAAGCCTCTGGATTCCTGACGTTCAATTGTGATCGCCGAGACAGAGCTATCATAAAACTGGATGGCCTGTCTGGAGCAGCACTGAGGAACTGTCTGATGTGACCCTGCAGCTGACAGTACAGTCCAAATCAAGAGCATTTGTCATTGGGATGGGGTGGAAGCTAAGGCTTGGGAAATGACTCTGCATTAACAATAGCCATGAAATGTGTGTTTGAAAGAGGAGGGTGAGTGATGAGGCAGTGATGTCCATTAGTGCTGGGCATTCTTCCCTCTGACCTCACGCTGATTAAAAAGTTAACACAAAAGCCAGAGACCCTTTGGGGAAGCAAAGTTTAAGGTTGTTTGTACTTAAGTAATTGAACAGAGGAACTGCACGATGGACGTGGAAGCTCCCACCACTGAAAGTGGCACCCTGAGCGCAGGACAAGAGCTCTCGAGGTGCGGAATCCACCAACAGAGGTGGCACCAAGCCCCTGCTACTCCTCACAACTCCTTTGTCTGCAAACCTCAGCAGTCCCCAGGGATAGAAGCTCAAATGGAACAAGGACTCCACTCCTTCAGCTGGTACCTGCAGCCAGAGCAGAGGATGTGGCCAAACTCAGAGGGGTCTGTGTGCTCAGAGGGGTAGCTCCACATGGAATAAACCCCAGGTACCTCCACAGAGCTTGACTGCACATCACCTGCAGGGTTTGTCCCTTCCTCCTTTAATCCCTCCATCCTGCGTGGGCCCTGCTCCTGGCAGAGGATGCACTGGATTGTCAGCACGGAGATTCTTCAGGTGCATGCAGAGAGGCTGCCAGAGCCAGGGAATTCTTAGTGCATTCCTGGAAATCCACACAGCTCGGCTTCAGCCAGGGCTGATGGACTGAAAGCAGCTTAAAGAAGAAAAGCACGCTAGGCTCACTACTGAAGTCTGAGTTAAGGGCCCTCTGGTGCAAGTAAATTCACATTTATTACTTCAAAGCTTGTGGGCAGAGTCCCTGAATCTCCACGCAGCTGCTGTGCTGCAGGAGCATCGTGACTTGCAAAGGGAAGCTGGTTGTGTTCTCCTCTTCATTTCTCAGCATCCTGTCAAAGCCCTTCCACAGCACCTGCACTGCCAGGGCAAGGGGGACTTGTGTGGAATCAGCTCGAGTTTGGCCAAGTCTCCTGCCTCAACTCCAACGCAGGGCAAAGATCAGAGTGCTGGACAAGGGGTATTTGGACAAGGCCCAGTGAATAGAGCATGTTGTGCACCATATTTAAGAACAATTGCAGCTCACATTTCCAATCCAGGCTTGTTCTCCTTCCCTTCCTTGATGAGGGAAAGCACTCTGCTGGATTTAGCTTCCCATAATCAAGGAAATAAACGTTCCAGCTCCCAGTTACAGCTCAGGCTTTATATATATTTTCTCTTCCTTCCCTTCCTTCATTGCAGCGTAACGTGCCAGAACGAAGAGGTAGTCGCTCAGTCTGGAAAGCAAGGGGAAAAGCAGTGAAGCCACTTCTCACATCAGGCGTGATTGTCTCCAGCAACACCCAACTACACTCAAAGCACATCTGGTTACAGGCAAAGCACATCTGGTCACAGCAAAGCACATCTGGTCACAGCATAAGGACTGCAGGTAAAGAGACCACAGAGAAGCGATTTCCGGAACAGCCTTCAGAAAGCTGAGTGCTCCCTCAGCACCACTGCAGCAGCTGCACACAGACAGGCCTTGCAAGAACACTTTTAACACTTCACTTCAACGATCTTATTCTGTAAGTAAGGCTTCTTGGGAGGTAAAACCCTGCAGTTTTAGCCCAAGACTAAGGGCACAAGCCCAAGCACACTTCAGAAGTAGAGAGTAAAGGTTTGGGGGGGGGGGGGGGGGGTATTACCTGTTTAAGTATTTGGCCACGTTTGGATCTGCTTCCCCTGCTTGTACCAAAGGAACCACGCTAGCAAAGGAGAAGAAACATGTTGAATGTATTTAACCTTCGAGCTCTGCCTGCACAAAGGACTGGATTTGCTGGAGCACCCTCCCAGCCCAGCCTCACCTGGAGTCCCCCATTCTAACTCCCTACAGGCTCTTTGCTTCCCCAAGAGGAACCTCTGGGATAAATGATGCAAGTGCTTTTTGTAACTGCTCTGGAGGGCTGCAGCTCCACTCCTCCAAAGGATGCTCATCAGTGGGCACCGCTGAACAACAGGGAGCAGTTTCCAGGGTCATCATCCTTTTCTGCATGTGAACTGGGGCCCTTTTGTCAAGGCAACAGCCCTGTTCTCACGTCCTGATTTGTGCACAGCCCTTTCTGGCTTGCTTTTGACACCCACTGTGATGTTGAGTTTTCTTCTATGGACCTTACCCAGGGGAGTTTTCATCTCCAACAGAGAAGTGGGACAAGGAAGGTGTGAGCAGTAACATCTCAAGCCACTAAAAGCTTCCCTGGATCCCACACCTGCTGGTGCCCCAGACTACACTTAGCAAATCAGACATGAGCTTCACAAGTAGATGCATCTCAGCATAAACCTGTCTGTTCTTTCTGAACTCTTTAGCTCAGATGACCCAGTTCAGGGGATGGAAAAGACTTGCTTTTTGCTGCTGGCACTCCTGGAATTTGGCTAATCCAAACACATAAAGCTTGCCTGAAGCTGCAGCTGAGTGCAGTACAGCTGATGGCTCTGACTGCACCGATTTGCTTTCATTGCAGCATTCTGATGAGCTTTTAGCACGTTTATGCTGTTATGCTACAGCCAACACTCACCACCTTTCAGCTCTGCGGCAGACAGCTCGGGAGAAGTGGAGAGCAGCACTGCTTTTACCTCCTCCCTGAAACAACGATGCAACAGCACATCAGTGTCAGCAACAACGGGTGCAGCCATCCACCCTACTGTGGACCTGCAGCAAAGCTCATCACACCTCACACACATGCAAGACTGGCCCCCGTGTTACAGCCAGGCAACTGGGAGAGATACCTGCATGCAGGATGTGGACATTTAACTCAACCAGGACCTTGTCTCTGCTTTTCTTTTGGTATTTGTCCATGCAAATAACAGCCTCACAACCTCTTTTCTCACAGCAAGTCATAAAGGAGATTTGCCCTAACACCACAAACCCTTTCCAGTTGGTAAGAGGCATAAGCAGTACCTACTGGTACCTACTGGCAAGATGAAAGTTCTGAGTGGAGGAAGCTGCTCTGAGTAACTGTCAATCCACTGCTCCAGCTCCAGAACTGGCTTCTCACTGAAAGATGTTCGTTCTACAGAGGGAAAAGAAGAATCAGATAAGAGAACTGCAGAATTGATTCAGGCAGAGCTCTGTTTTCATGTTTCTTGGATCAGTAAGTCCCAAGAAAGCATCCCAAAATGCTGCTCTAGATCAGGACTTCAGTCACCTAGATATGCAGAACAGCTCCCTCTCCCAGGTACCAGACCAGCCTCCCCAGCACCAGCCCAGGACAACTGTTATCCCAGGATAACTGTGGGACTTACTTAAGTGAGCCTCCCTGGCTGAGGAGAGCGGCGTGGCGATGTTGGAGCCCACATCCTGCAGCATGCACTGGACCTGGGTATGGCAATCGGGACAAAAACAAGAAGTGCTCTCATGAACCAGCCTTTGATGCTGTGGTACAACTGCAGCAAGCTCTGTGCTGGTTGTTCATCATCCCGCAGCCTGCTGGCAGGGGGCATCAGGTAAGTGCTCCCTAATTGCTTTATGAGGAGCCAGATTAGCACATGGAATTGTTGTCACTGGCATATTAAACCACGGAGGCTGACTGCAGAAAGCAGACTGGGGAGGGTCCGCATTAACCCCTTTGCTGGTAGGACACGGAGCCATAACCTCTGCAAGAAAGGCAGTGCCAGCTGCAGGCAATGCTGGCTCCATGTCAGGTCTGCTTCCAAAAGGAACATCTCTCCATGGCTCAGGCTACTTGCGAGGCAGCCTGGTGAGGCTTTCTAACATCTCTGATCAGCTCCTTCTGCATTCTTCTGCGCAGCAGAGCTCATCAGCAGAACTCATGTGGTTACTTTGCCCTGATTTCAAATCTGAGTGCTCTGACACTAAGACCCATGTCCTTAACCATGCCCAGGAACAGGTCTGGATAAACCTAGAGATGCTTTTGCCCCAAACTGATCACTCCCAGTTTCCTTCTTGGTTAAAGAAATTGACTTCTTAGCAAGCGATCAAGGGGCAGAGCCTTAACAATTCATTTATTTCAGTACTGGATTAATTAAATCCCTGTGCGTCAGTGGAAGCACTGTGTCTAACATTAAAGAGTTTAAGACTGTGTTTCAATAGCACTGATGCAGTGACTGCTCTGGGTGAGGGTTATCATTACTACTCACTTTGTGAAGCTGCTCAACAAATGTGTGGCCCTTTTCACTGCCAAATTCACCAGCAAGCCTACGTTAAAAAACAGAGTTAGCTGGAAATGGAAAAATAACCACGACTGGGGGCAGATGTAAGGCAGAAGCTCTTCCCTGTGAGGGTGCTGAGGCGCTGGCACAGGGTGCCCAGAGAAGCTGTGGCTGCCCCATCCCTGGCAGTGCTCAAGGCCAGGTTGGACACAGGGGCTTGGAGCAAGCTGCTCCAGTGGAAGGGGTCCCTGCCCGTGGCAGGGGTTGGAGCTGGATGTGCTTTAAGGCCTCTTAACGCACCCCAGGCTGTGATTCCCTATGAAAACACAGGGTTAGGACACTCTTGGCTCTTTGTCAGTGCACCCCTCCAGCGAGCTTTGGCTCACAGCCTACCCCTTCCCCTGCTGCGGGGCTAGGGGAGCAGCTCTGAACGGAGGGGATCGCCCCAAAGACCCGCACCGCAGGGGGACGGTGCTGCTGGGCCCTTCTGCATGTGGAGCGCCCCGGGGCAGGCGTTACCCGATGGCCGAGCTCAGCTCGTCCGTGGCTCCCAGAGCTTCGAAGATCCGGTCGCCCTTCGGCCGCCGCTCCCCGGTGAAGGTGCTGGAGAAGCCTTTGGGAAAGGCCCGGGGGGCGGCGCTCAGAGGCCGGGCTCAGCCCCGCCGCGCGTCCCCTGCCGCCGCCCCCGGCCGCTACCTGCGTCTCCCGTCTTCGTGTAGATCCTGGGGGCCCGCTCGCTGCGGGGGCCGCGGTCGGGGCTGCGGAGGGAAGAGGCCGTGAGCGAGGGCCCTAGGCCCGGCCGCGCCTCCCCTCCCCGCCCCGCGGCCCCCGGGCCTCACCTGCCCGCCCCGCTCCGCTGCCGCCGCCCCCCCGCCGCCGCCGCCGCCCCGCACCGCAGGGCCCGGCCCGCGGCCGCCGCCCGCAGCCACATCCCTCCGGGCCGCCGTAGCCGACGTCCCGCCCCTTCTCCCACGCGTGCTGTCACCCCAGCGCCGCGCCACCGCGCGCTGCTCCTTTCCGATTGGCCAGCGCGAAGACCCGCCCCCGAAACTCCCGCGGCTATTGGCTGGAAAGCAAGGAGGGCGGGGCAGAGCGCGGTTCCTATTGGCCAGCGTGGGTGTCAGTCAGCGTGGCCGGCGCGGAGGTGCTGAGGTACCGGGTCCGGCGGCGGGAGATGTGGGAGCGGGGCCTGGTGGTGTCGGCGCCGGGGAAGGCGATCCTGCACGGGGAGCACGCCGTGGTGCACGGCAAGGTAAGGGCCCCGCCGCCGCCGGCCCGCCGGGGCTGCCCTCGCCTCCCCTCACCCGCTTCTCGCCGCCCGCAGGTGGCCTTGGCCGTGGCGCTGGACCTGAGGACGTTCCTCCGGCTGCGGCCCTGCGGAGAGCGCGGGCTCTGCGTCCGCCTGCCCGGGCTCGGCGTCGTGAGGAGCTGGGACGCCCCCAGCCTCCAGGCCCTGCGGAGGGGCCTTGCAGGCAAGCGCTGCCCCGGGGTGGGGGGGGTGTGTGGGGCTCTGGGGCCTGCCCGCATCCCCGCAGGGACCCTGTGCTGGGTTGTTTGTGTGTCCGTCCTCCCCCCGCGCAGCGTCGCCTCTGGCCACCTTCGGTGTGTGTTTAACCGAGGTGTCCCCTGCACACTCCCTGCCTCTTGCGACCTGGTTCCCGTGAGTGGCCCTCGCTGCGGCTGGCTCCTCCTGTGTCAGCTCCCAGGAGCTTGTGCTGCTGCAGCTCAGGCAGACCGAGGTTCACATCCGGATGTATTTAGGGAGGTGCAGCTCTCAGTGGGATTTCTGCAGCATCCTGTGCTAGGTGAGAGCCCCTGGCTGTGCCATTTGGCTCCCAGGGACCTGGCGTTAACCCCCAGGATCCTGCATTTGCTTAGCAGAAAGCACAACAAGCTCTAATAAGTCAGAGCACTGGTGGCAACCTCTCAGCACTGACCGAAAGCTCTCTTACACCCATGCCTGCTCCTGGCTGTTTGGAGTCCAGAGCCTCGTGTGAAGCACCTCAGAATATCCACGTTCTTCAAGAAAGGGTTTGGGGTTTGCCAGGTTCTTTGTAATGATGGATGGATGCACTGGGAAGTGCGGGCAAGGAGGTGGTTCCTGTAATGCAGTGCAGGAGTGGGTTGAAACAGGGTGCTCAGAGTGGCTGGTGGAGATTGTGCTTTTTGTTTTATCCTAACCCCTCAGGTAGAAAGTTTGTGGGTGAAGTCTGGAATGGGCTCAGTCTGTTCCAGCCTGTTAGAAGGGGAGAGGTGCTGTCAGTACTGCTTTCATGTTTCACCATTCCTGGCTTTCTGAGCGTTTCAATTCTCCCCTCTTGCTTCCGTAGCTGACTTTGATGAATCAAAGCCCCCCAGTGCAGAGCAGCTGGATACACTGAAAGAGTTTGCTGGAATTGCTGCCGGAGCCTCGGCTCCCGAGAGCCTTGCCATTCTTGCCTTCCTTTACATGTACCTGGCTATTTCAGCTAAGCATGGGTAAGGCTGCCATCCTGCCCCGAATCAAGTGTTCACCATTAATTGCCTCTCCAAGGTCATGGGAAGAAACCAGCCCTTTGAGAGAGAGGATCTCACTTCATTTGGGTTCTGAGCACCTCAGGTGATGCTCTTCAGAGCTGAGCTCTATGGAGGTGAGGTGCTCTCATTTAGGCATCAGCCTTTGAGGTGCTTAAGTTGGAGCGGTTCATCCCACCCTTCCTGCACAGTCAAGAGAAGCAGACACAGATGTGGGCACCTCAATTCATCCTGCCTTAGCATGCTGGACATGAGCTGTGAGTTTCATGTCTGAGCTAAGGCTGATCCCTCCTGTGGGCTGAATCTCCCTAAAAACATGAGAATTTGGTGTCCTTGCAGCTCAGGGCTGGTTCAGTTTCTAAGCCTGACTGATACTTGCTGTCAGAATGTGTTACCGGACAGCTTAAACCGAATCAGAACCTGACCTCAGTGTTCATAGCGAAGAAATGAAAGGTTAAAGACTACAATGGGTAGCTGCATTGTGCTTTCTCAGCCTCTGAGTTGTGTGATGAGAGCACTGGGGCTGTCATCAGCCTGCTCTGAAACCACCAGTTCCTAGTTCATGTCACTCACCAGCCATGGAAAGCTCCTGGGTTTGATGTTGGGGTCTGTAACACCACCCAGATGGGTTCAGTGGAGAAAAGGGGCACACATAGGAGCTTGTTGCTCCAGTGGGATGTAACTGTGCAGTTATGGACTTGGGGTAATTATGCTTTATTTAGAAATACGTTTAAATCCTGTTTACAGCAATCTTTGAAGGGTCTCTTTATGGTGCTACTCAAGTATTTCGTTACCAAGTGCCCTGCTAGCAGCTTGACAAGCTGTGCTAATCACAGACCCAATTCAGGGAGGCTTTGTTCCAGCACAATGGCTTAGCAAGGCCCCTCAGCTGTGCTAACTGAGCACTCCTGAAGCCCCTGTGTGTGCTGATGCTTATGCTGATGTTGCCACTTTTCAACCAGCTTTCCCTGTGATCAGTCCTAATTGCCGTGTTTTGCCTTGTAAATGTTGTCTCAAGATGGATTTCGGGTTCCTTGTGCTGCATCCTCTGTGCTTGTGTTCCAGAGATGTTCCCAGTGTGGACATACTGGTGTGGTCGCAGCTGCCCACAGGAGCTGGGCTGGGTTCCAGTGCTGCCTACGCCGTCTGCTTGGCCGCGGCCCTGCTCACTGTGTGTGGAGCCATCTCCTGCCCTCTGAAGGAGGGAGAGCCCACGGCCAGGTAACACATCCCATCACCCTGCCTGCTTCGGTGCACGGCCCCGGGCAGCCCTGCTCTCTCTGCCCCTCTGTGTCCTTTTCCCCCCACAAATTCTGGCTCTGGCACCTCTCTTGGTCTCTCTGACCCAAGTCCTGGGCTGTGGTTGTGGCTGCAGCAGTGGCACCCTGAGCCCGGCTCCTTTCACTTCCTCTCCTGTTTCTGCTCTGTGTTCCTGGCTGCAGGGACGTGCCCTGCCCCAGGGCTCTGACCTGGGAATCACGAGTTTATAGCTCACATCTGATAAAAGCAGCTGGATGCAGAGGCTGTGTAAAACTTGCACCGTTTCCCTCCTCTGGTGCAAGGTCCATGGGCTTAAAAAACCCCAGCTTTATTTTGCCACGCAAATAAAACACACTTTAAATGGTGAATTTGTTTAACCTCTATTTCCTCTCTGTCCCTGAGCATCTTCCAGGCTTTGCTTTGAGCCCTCAAGGAGTCAGAGATCCTTTCTGGTTTCCCTGCGTTTTCACATGAGTGTTTCTCTGCACGTGGTACCCGTCCCCCTCGTCTCCTGCCCCAGTTTCCCCCTTACAAGTGCCTGGTGAAAGGAGGTTTTCTTTCCTCCTGCCCTTGGGTTGCTTTCCCTTGGAGCTGAGCCTTGCCGGACCGGTTTGCTGTGTTGTGGGTGTCTGTTTGAAGATGTGTATCACAGCTGGAGCTCAGCACCTCTACTGTGTGCTCCCCCTGCCAGGTGCACCCTTTGTGGCTGGCTTCAGTGGACTTGGGGGCTGAAAGTGCAACAGCAAAGCTAGGGGCTGCCTCTGTTCTGCTTCAAACCCGGGTTTGCTCCTGACCCCCAAACCCGTTCTTGGAGCAGGGCAGTTTGTGCTCCGGCAGCTCTCCCCCAGCCACAGGCATGAGGGATGAAAGGCTGGTCCCGAGGCGAGCAGCGCGGATGCCTTCATTCCCTGCTCCCACTCCTGAGCTGCAGCTTGAGTGCAGCGTGGTTTTCCCCCTCCCGCTGGCATGCAGAGGGCTACGTGAGAGATGAGGGTGTCAGACTTCAGAAGGTTTTTGCTTAACGTGGCAAGAAAAGAACAGCGTGATATAATGACTCCTGTGCGGAGAAGAACCGCAGCCTCTCAGAGAGGATTAAAAACAAGTGGTTTACAGCAAACTGCGCTTCTATTTTGAGTAGCGGCGGCGTGAGCTGCTTTGCTGAATGCTTTGCAGATTAAATATTGGCAAGAGAAATGAAAGGTGCCTGGAGATGGATAAAGACGTTCAGCTGAGGCCCAGGGAAGCGGGGACTTGGAGGAAACGGCTTCCAGAGAGCAGGTGGCTCTCAGGACTTCAGTGCTGCTCTCATTATTTCATGGAAGACTGATGCTTTTCCATGCATGGTCGTGCCTCTGCTCCGTCATCTGATACCTGTTCCGTGCCCTGCGTTCCAAAAACCTGTTGAATGCACGTTCTTGCTGCAGCAAACAGCAGCTCTGATGTGTGCAGAGCATCGCTGGTGCTGGGATATCTGATAGCGCCGTGCATCAGGGCGTTTGAACGGGGACCTGGAGCGTGTGCTGTGCGTCTGGACCGCAGAGCAGGCAGCGTGGTGGTGCAGGGAGGGTCAGAGAGGAGCAGTTGTGTGCCTGTGTGAGCCTAAGTGCATCACAGCAGGGGGCAAGCTGGGGGTGCTGAGCTTCCCTTGGGGTGCCAGGGTTTGAGGCTGTGGCATGAGTGGGTTTGAAATAGACTGGTGAGTTGTGAAGGTTCTGTGGGTGCATGCCCTGAGGGCCCAGAGCAGTGGGGTTTTGAAGGGTGCTGGGGAAGGAATCGCTGCACTGGATTGCAGGGAATTTGCAGCCAGTAACTGGCAGCTCTGCGTTTGCTTTTTGTGGTGCTACAGCCCATTCATTAGTATGTGCAGGCAGGGGCCTGGATCCTTGCTGAGCCTGACCCAGCACCAAACTCTTTGTGGCACCATTTGAACTCCCAAAGCACTTAACCAGTTGATGGCACTGCTTTTAAGAGAACAGAAAGAGCTGCTTTTGTGGTGTTAGCGTAACACCTTCTGGGTCTGCGTTTGGTTCCCTTCTGTGCTCTTTAGTGCTGGCACCCGGTGCAGCTGAAGTGTTAGGAGTTAATCCCAGAAAATCAAAGTCTTTGCTGGAGATGCTGTAGTTAAAACTGCTTTACTTTTTGACCCAGTTTGTGAGGCAGCTGAGCAGCTGGCAATTAGAGGCATGTGTGAAATGCAACTTTTACTACTCTCTTCTCACATCACACCTTCTGTGGCTATAAATACACCATCCTGCCTGGCGCTGAGCAGGATCTGAGGCCAGGATGTGTGGAAACACGCAGTGTCAGGGAGGTGGGATGGGGCTGGGCTTGCATTGAGTTAAACCTGATCCTCACTGGAGCCAGGGCTAGGATCTTCTCCCTGAAGTTTCTCCCCATCACTCAGCACAAGGTGGTTTTGGCTGTGTTTTGGAGTCATTTTCTTGCCTTTCAGGTGGACAGAAGAAGAGCTGGCTTTGATTAACCACTGGGCCTTCCAAGGGGAGCGGGTGATCCATGGCAACCCCTCGGGGGTGGATAATGCTGTTGGTACCTGGGGTACGTGTGTGTTTGCTCCTCCCGGCACTGGATATGGGTGGTGGAGCACCAGATGCGTTTCCATTCTCTGCTGCAGGGTGTGCATCAGCAGACAGTGAGGCCTGGTTGGGGTTGCTGCAGGGACACTGAATGCAGCAGTTGCTTTACTGTGCTGAGGTACAGCAAAGGCACCAGAAACCCCCAAGTTCAGGGCCCTCTTTTGACCTGAGCAGAGGGAATCCTTCCCTCAGCGAGCTGGGACTGGCTGCAGTAACACCAGGGGCCTGCATCCCCCATGGGCAGAGACCCTGCTGCAAATAACTGATACTTAAACATCCTGGTGTGAACAAAGAGCCCTAATCCTGTCCCAGGGATAATGCAGTCAGGCAGCTGTCCCTTAGTTTCAATCAGCAGAGACTTCCAAGGGGGTTGGAAGTGTCCTTGGAGACTGTTAATAATCTTTCTAATGAGACCTAATTGCAGAGCCTCTGGAAAAGTAGGAGCAAAGTGAGACATTCCTCCTGGACAGTGAAATTCCACGCCGAAGGATGGCTGCTGGCGTGAGTGCGCACGTTCAGTCCGGTTCGAAACCTCCATCCTTGGCTCTGCCCCATGGAATCTCTGCCTGGGGGTTGTTTGGGGTTTATTTAGTAAGGATTTAAGGCTGGCCAAGCTCTGCCTTTTGAAAAGTCTTCAATGTGATCGCAGAGCAAAGGGAAAGCCATTGGGTTAACTATGGCTGGGCTGACCCCCTCATTAAGTCGCCAGGGTTAGGCAGATCCATGCTGCCTGGGAACATGGTTCATTTAGCTGGTGTTCCTTGCAATTACTGTCATGGGCTCTGGGTGAGGTTCTGAAGATGAAAGCCCTTCTGTCTCTTCCGCCACTGTTATCTCTCAGACAATGCATGTCTTTTACTTTAGGTGGAGCCCTGAGATACCAATCAGGGAAAATCACACCATTAAAGAGGTAATATTAGAGCTTAAAAATAGCACTTAGATACAATGGGTGGAATATGTCAAAAAGGCTTTGGGTGGATGTTGGAGGGTAGGAGATTGATGGGCGATCAGGAACAGAGTGGTGCTAGGGCTTTGGAGCCTTTTTGCCCTGGGTGTGGGTAGCTTGAGTGTTGGCTTGGTTTGGGGTGGATGGGAACAATGAGGTGTTTGGTCATTATCTGACATGAGATGAACACAGTGCAAAGGATCAATATTAATTTCATGGCGTTATGGGCAGCAGGAATGGATCTGCTCCTGGCAGCAAATGACATTGTGGGGAAGGGGGACTTCTTGCTTACCTGGTGGTGGGATGATGGGGAAGGCAAGAGCCAGCTGCAGAGACAAATCCAGGTCCTGCCTGTTCCCTCTGCCTCCTGCCAAGGAGGTGTAATCTGCCTCCATTAAAATCTTTCACAGTGCATGAAATTGCTCCATTAGCAGTTAATGGCCAGTGCTGGCTAGTCTCTGAGATAGTATTTCAAAGGGAAAATTTTGCTTGAAAAACATGGATTTCGGTAAATACATTACACTCCTATTTATAGCGCTGGTGCAGTCGTGCCTTGTATCTGAGAGGAGCAAGCCTGAGTCCAGCCAGCACTTACGCACCTGCTTAACGTCTTTTAGTGGGACTCCTTATCTTGGGTGTCCTGCTCAAACAGGCCTTTTGAGGCAGAGCAGACTGAGCTGGACGTGTCTGGGCCTTGGGAGCTGGTAGGGGACTGTGAAGGGAAGAGGCAAGGAGATGGCTTTGTTGTTGCAGGGTGCCGCTGCTGAAGATCTTGCTGACCAACACAAAAGTCCCTCGAAGCACCAAGGTCCTGGTGGCTGGTGTCAAGGAGAAGATCCTGAAGGTGTGGTTGTGTGGGGATGGAGCTGTGTGCTGTGCAGGTGGGGAGAGAGCCCGCATGAGCTCGGATCTCCTCATGTGGGACTGCAGGGTTCACGGGGGGGGACCCTTCTTGTGGTCACTGCATTCCTGTCTGATGCTAGCTAAGGCCAGGATGCGCTGGGAATGAGGGTTCAGCTCCCCTCCACCTTTCTCCACCATTAACAGGGCTTGCCTCTTGTAACAATGAAAGGAATAGTTCCTTTGGCCTGTTTCCCCCCTCTTCCTCCATTCTTTGCAGTTGGGAGCAACCCACCTTTGCCCTGCTCTGCAGCGGGTTCTTCTATGAATGAGTAGCCCTAAATGGGGTGAGGAATCGTCCAGCTCAATGAGACTGGGTCTGGTTTCATCACCGTGGTATGAGATCAGTGAGCAGTCTCCTCGCATCTTGCCTTCCCCCTTCTCAGTTCCCTGCTGTAATGAACCCGGTGCTGGACTCCATCGATGCAATTTCTCAGGAGTGCCAAAGTGTTCTGGAAGCGATGCCTGCAAATCCATCACCAGAGCATTACCCTGTGCTGGAGGTAAGGGGCTTGTTCGCCCGTATTTGTAGGCACGGTTACTGTTGAACATCAAAATGGCATTTAAAGGGCATTAGGGCGAAGAAAAAAAACTGGTAGCAGGAAATGTTCAATTCTGAGTGAAACCATGCTCTGTGAGTGCTGCTCTGAATGCCCTTCCTGGAGCCGAGGGATGGAAAAGGCTGCCCGAGTGTCCCCAGAGCTGTGCACAGGGAGGGAGTGGGTCTGGTGCTTTGTGGAGCTGTAGCTCTGGAGGTTTTGCTTCCTCTTGCTAAGCTATGGAGAGATACTGCTAGGATATGGAGTGATTCAGGGGGGGATGCTGCCTCCCTGCACCATGGACCAGCCACGCTCCTCCCGGCCGTCGCTGCCTGGGAAGCAGCTGCTTTGTCACTGCCAAGGCTGGGGTGAGGAGCAGAGCCCAGCAGCCGCTGGTTTGCAATGGACTGGTTATGAGCCAGCTCCCTGTGCTCTGCGCTCATCCTGGCTCCGGAGGATAACAGAGTTGTGCCCAGAGCTGACCTGACATTGATGCATGAGGTGCATACCAAGATCTGTGTTTGTCTTGGCTTTGTTCGGAGCAGGAGAGGCTGCGGCGGCGGAGGGAGATGTGCTTCTGAGTGGAAGGAGCAGGTTTTGCAGTGTTGAGAGCACTGATGCCTACAGCCATGGGGTGAGGACGTGTGGCAGTGGCCCAGCTGAGGCAAACCTGGCCTGGCAGTGGGTGCCAAGTGACTTGGATGGTCAAGAGCCATTTGGTACCAGTGATGCAGTTCCTTGTTGGCATCTGGATCCCTCCCCTCAGCTCTCCTGTGAGCACCTCTGCTTGTCCTTGCTCTTGCTGCTCAGTTGTCCCCTCCGCAGCCTTGAGCATGGTCCAGAGGCACAGGGGGAAGGCTCTGGAGTGGGGCAGAGCCCCTGCACCAGCTCTGCCTGCACAGCAGCATAGGGCTGCCCTGTTAGCAGATGGTGGGTACAGCCTTCTCCCTGCTTCAGGCTGCATTGCACATCGCTGCACGTGGGTGAGCTGCTGCTTGGGACTGCAGCAAGCACGGGAGGGTCTCCCGTGGGATCCAGAACAAAATCCTGCTCCCTTTACACCAAGGGGGTGCTGGGTTTCTGTACCTATCACTATGGGCTGACCCTAACGAGGGCTAAAGGAGTCTGCAGCAAAACTTCAGCCAGCTCTTCTCCACCTGAATTCCATATTGCTCAGGTTGTTGGAAGCACTGGGGGCCAGCGAAGGGCTAATTTGAAGTGGGCTCCGAGATCCTCACATGAAAGATGCCAAAGCAACCGTGTATATGATGCCCTGGAAACAGCCCAGCAGTGAGCAGGTTTCTGCCTTGACTCTGTTGTTTTGTCTCGTGCTTGAAGAGCCCGCAGAGGCACAGCTGATTATATGCAGCATCTATCTATCTATATTGGGCTGTTTCTGCAGCGTGCTCTTGTGGACAGCGTTGTATCTGAGCCATCGAACTAGTCTACTGTGTCATAAGCTGTCGTCTGATTCCTGGCAGGTTTTGGATCCGGGGATGACAGGTGTCTGGGATCATCACAGGCAGAGCTGTGCCCTCACTCAGGCATATAAAGAGGGCTCTGGATGGACGTCTGTCCAGCCCGGCGCAGAGCTGGATGGATGCGCTCTGCGTGCCGCTGGCTAATTCAGCTCCCTGCCTTGGAGCAGTGCAGAAATGCTCTGGTGGGGGGAGAGGGATTGTTTCTGTGTTGTCCCTTCCTGCGTGGTGTGGTGCTGGCAGGAGACCCATGTGGGGCTGAGGGAGGTGATGTGGCATATGCCTGTTAATGCTGTAGCGTGGCTCCCACTGCTCCCTGTGCGCAGCTCACTGCAGGCAAGGGGCGTGCTTGGTGGCTTCATTCAGAGGAGGGAGCACAGGGTCCCTGTGAAGAAGCCTGTGGGGTTGATGCTGGCTCCCTGCTTGTGACACCCTATGGAACAGCGTTGGGAGCAGCCACCAGTGCCAGGGAAATGATGGAGTCGGTGTCAGGCCAGTGTTACTGAGATTGAGCATCCTTCACTGCTGGTGCTGATGGGCTGGAAGGCACTTGCAGTGCTTGGGGGCCTGGTGTCAGGTTTGCTCTGAGTGCGGGCCAAGCCCTTCCCTCTGTTCCTTAATTCCTCTGGTACTGGGAGGGGAGAAGCTGGGCAGCTCTGCTTGGGGGGTGGCCTTGTTTGCAGGGTGGTTTGTGCTGCTCTTCCCCCGAAGCAAGGACCCTCTCAACCCCACTTGAGCTGGGTGCCACATTCCCAGCGTGGTGCTGGGGGAGGCCCCTTGGCTCTCAGCCCGTGAGGACAGGGAAGCTGCCCAATGCAAACACAGGGACATAACTCCCGTGTCGCCTCTCCAGCGGTGCCGTTTCTGACTTGGCAGTGTCAGAAGGATGCAGCTCTGCTGGATGGGTTGCAGAGCAGGGCAGGGTGACAGCCAGGAATGAGGGATGCTGGCTCGGTGCCCTTCCCACGGCCAGCGAGGGGCTTGCACTGTCTCCTGCTCAACACTTGTGTGACAGGGGAGAGGTGAAGCCATCAGGAGGCACTGGGGGGCTCTGATTTAGCGCCTGAGATAAGTGCCTGCCAGCAGCTTGCAGTGAGCAGGGCTTCTCAGGAGGTCCAAGGGTTGTTGTAGCGCTGCCACTGTGATGGGCAGCAGCAGCAGCACTAGTTGTGATGGGGACAGGGACAAGTGAGCAGCCCAAGGCTCAGACTCTGGCTTTGACCTTCCTGCCCAGAGCTGCTGGACCTTGGGAGATGCTGGTGGCCAAACTCCGTGCAGAAATGAGATGCCCATGTATTGGGATGGGAAGGGAGCCTCTGTTGTGATGCTCATCTCACGTGTGTGGTTGCTTTTAGGAACTCTTTGACATAAACCAACACCACTTAAACGTGATGGGGGCCGGCCATCCATCCCTGGACCGCCTGTGCCGGGTGACAGCATCCCATGGGCTGCACAGCAAGCTGACCGGGGCTGGTGGCGGTGGCTGTGGCATCACCCTGCTGAGACCAGGTCAGTAAATCCCTGCCCCTGCTCTCCCTGGGCATCCTGCCCCGCTTCCACAGAGCCCTGCCTGTGGGGTCAGGTTTGGAAGCGGAGGAGTAGATGCTCATGGTGGGATGTGGAGCCATGTGTCAAGTGTGGGATGGTGCCTGGTGGTGTGGTTTGTGCTGTTTCGTACGGGGCCATTCAGTGCCTTCATTGACGTGTGTCAGATCATCAGGGCACGAGCCCTGTGCCAGGGGGCACGTGTTTAAGCATACGATGGCCTCACTGACTGCCTGCTCTTGCCCTCCTCTTGGCAGACACCTCCCCGCTGGCCGTGGAAGCAGCCAAGCAAGACCTGTGTGCCTGTGGATTTGAATGCTGGGAGACCAGTATCGGGGCCCCCGGGGTGACCCTGCACTCCTCCTCCTCTTTAAGCACCCAAGTGCTGCACGCACTCACTGAGAGTTAAGCTGCTGCCTCTGGCAAGACTTGAGCTCCTGGCACCCTGTCCTGGGAGCTCCGTGTGCCCCAGTGCCTGGAACCTTCTCTACTGTGGGGCTGAGGGCCTCTAGATGCAGGTGTGGGGCCTGATGCTGCTGGGAATGGGGGCTGCCATAAGGACCCAGGAGCAGCAGGGTGTGAGTTTGACCCAGGCTCTCCAAGTTCTGTTTTGAATCGCCTTGCTCCACTGCTGTGCTCATCCCAAGGGGCAGGAGGAGAGGGGCTTGGCTGGGATGCAGCAGGGATAGTGACCCTTTGCTTGGTTCTGCTGCTTCAGATGCATGTGGTGCCTCTTCCCTTCTCCCCTGGCGTCGGGCAGTGGAGGTTGGCAAGGTGGATGTGCAGGGGGCTTTGACATTTTGGGGTGAAAAGCGTCTTGGCAGCTCAGGGCTTGACACTGGTGTCTCCGTTTCTCCCGGACCGCAGCCTCCAGTGAAGAGGAAACCTTTAAATCCAGCTCTTCCCTGCTACTCGTCAGGAGCTGGATAATTAAAAGGGAAGATGCGGCTCATTTCTAACGGTATTCTCACTCATTTCACTGTGTCCCCTGGTCTCTGCCTGCAGCCAGGCTCGTGTTCATGTGCTCTGCTTCAGACAGCAACTGGTGCCTGCAAGGAGGGTGGCTAAAGGAAACCAGTTCTCCTTGTGATTGCTATTCTGGGGTCTCTTGTGCTTCATTCCTCACCAAGCCTGCCCTTGCCCCTTGTCCCTGGGATGTGCCTCGTGCTGGGGCAGGGGCAGGGCAAACATGAGTTTGGTTTAGTTTGAAGGGATCAAGTAGGAAAGCCAGTCCCAACCTCCTCAGAAGCTGGCCTGAACTTGCAATGGGCCAAGTAGAAAACCTCAATGCATTTAAACCTCCAGCTTTTTTACTGCTGGAATTGCAATGAGCTGTGCCACAGCACCCAAGGGAATTGGCAGGTGAGCGTGAAGCTGGAGCATCCTGAAGTAAATACCCGGACTCTCAGGGGTTGGGGTCTCTTCTCTACCTGCCACAGGGATTCTGTCACTGTTCTGCTTGGCTCGGTTGGGTTTTAAGTGCAGCTCTGCTCAGGGATTGCTCCATTCGAAGCTGAGTAATGAAGTGGCAGAGGTGGGGGCTTGTCCTCCTCTTCCAGCGCAGGGGTGAAGACTGGAGCAGGAGAAGCCGCGCTGTGCTAGCTCCGTAATCGCGGTGACCAGCTTCACTTCACTGATCACGTGTAAACTGTCTGCTTTTAATAAATGGATGGGGGTTTTTATGTGCAAAGCGTTCTTTGATAATTATTCTGGGTACAAAAGGAGAAAAGCACCTAACACTGCGTCAGTAAAAACGGGTTTCAGATGCTGGGTCTCTACATGTCTAATTACAATTCCCATTTGCATCCGGGAACGGCTTTACACTAATCACAAGTCAGAAAGCCTGATAAATAATTTACCATTTCCTAATACAGCGTAATCAATGTGCGTTGACGCCGCGCTGTTCGGATGTGTCTGCTGTTCCTGATGGGTAGCACAAAGAGATGCCAAGCGCGGTGCCGAGGAACTTCGCTTCAGAGCGCCGTGTCTGGGGCTCAGCCTCATTAGCAGCTTGCAGGGGGAGATGGGCTCGCAGGCAGCGTGTGGGAGCTCTGGGGGGACACCTAAGAGTAAAGATTGGGATTTGCTGGTTTAAATGGTGATTAAAGTGGGGGATTTCAGCTCACCGCTTCAGGTTGCTGTGGGGCCTCCTGTTACCGCTGCCAATGTCCTCAGTGGACAAGTGGAGTGTGTTTTGTGCTGTCCCTGCTTCAGGTGTCACCTGGAGTCCTCAGCTCGACCCAGACCTTGTGCTGTTGGGGTCCTGCAGCCAGGGATGCCTTTACCTGCCTGTTTTCAGCTCTCTCTTGCTTCACTTGTGGGTGTGATGGAGGCACAGAAGTGACCCGGAGCGAGGCGATGGCTGAGCCCAGTGGCTGAGATGTGAGTGATGTGGGTTGTGGTGGGGTGCAGTGTTTCTGCCTGCCCCGACACTGGGGCTGGGATCTGCCTTCCCTGTGCCACAGGGACCAGATGTGCCCAAGTCAGCAGCTGGAGCCAGTCCCACTTAGGAGTAAGCATGGGAGCAACTGCTCCCTCCTTCCTGCGGTCCTCCCTCCCCATCTCCATCAGAGCATTCCCAGGGGCCTCTCTACAACCCTGGGATACCCAAAGGGACATTTGGCACGCACCCAACCCCAGCCTTTTTGGTTGCACCAAACTGTACCCCCCTCCTGTGCTTCCTTGAGCCCCGCATCCTGCTTTGCAGGGAATGCGTGGGATCCAAGGGACCCCATCCCTGTGCTGTGGGCATCTGGGTGGCTGCTCCCCAAGGCCCCTTGTGCCCCGTGGCTGCCGTTTGCTGCTTTGGGAGCAAAACTGAAGCACAAATGAAGCCTCTTGAGCCCGTTCTCTCCACGGACCCATCCCCTCCTGTCCCCCCAGCCCCACCACAAGCCCACCAATGCTTTCCCGTCTGCTCTCCCCGGGCTTGCTTTACGGATGGGCCGTGGTGCAGCGATTGCTGCTGAAGGATTACCCTGGTAATTTGGCTAATTTTTCTTGAGCTTCATTTTTCACGTTACGAGCTCTGCAGGAAGACTGACGATCCCGGCTTTGCCTCTAACAGCCAGCACGGGAACGGGGAGGAGAAGCCGCTTCCATCCGAAGGGATGCAGGGCAGCATCGGTGCGGCAATGCCAGGGTGCCTCTCACCACCCCGAAGGGCTCCAGTCCCCTCACCCATGGGTCTCCCCATGACCTGGGCCTTCCCCACTCGCTGCCTGTCCCCTGCCAGGCACAGATGGTATTGTTCTGTGGTTTAATCCATGTCAGCAGTGGCTTCTTTCTGCTCCAGTGAATGGATGCTGAAGAGGCAGTGACATTATTGGAGATAACGGAGTGAAACAGAAAGAGGGTCAGGGAGAGAATGGAAATGTCAGCGCGCAGCCACTGAGGAGGTGAGGGGCTGCTCGGGCTCCATGGTGCTCCCAGGCTTCCTCCTGGGGCTGGGAATGGGGCTGGGGACCCTCCTGCACAGCGGGAGGGCTTAGGGCATTGCAGGGTTCCCCTTGGTCGGGGGGTACCCAGCTTGGTGCCATTTCAAGGACAACTTCCAGCTGTGCCATCACCCCTATAGCCAGGCTCCTTGTGCCCTCTGCACCCCAACCCCAGGGACTTGAGGCTCCCTCCTGCCTGGAGCACACGCAGGGTGCCCCAGTTACACCCCATTGAGACGAGCGCCCACGGGGGAGCCCGTCTGCGTCCTTCCCCCCCCAGCCCGTTCCCTCGCTCGGCTCTCCCCTCGCGGCGCACGGGAGGGTTTGAAAGTTAAGTATTACCGTCTGCTTTGTTGTTGCCTAACTACGACAGACAAATTGAGAACCGGTTGTCAAAATGTCAGTGCACAACAAATCAACATTCAAAATGAGTCTCGGCGCTCCGCGGTGTATAATTAAAACCCAGCCCTTTGCAGAGATTTCAGCGCGCGTTGGCTCTGCTTTCTATTTGTCTGGGTGATTAATAAAGGCAGCTAATTTTCAGACTTTAAAAACAGCTAGAAAATAGCTCCTAATTACATATTAGGTTCCAAGCGGCCCCCGCTGAGCGAGGCTGGTATTGGTGGGCCAGAGAATTTGGCAGGGGCTTAATTACATTCTGAGCATCATCTAATTTTAGTTAAATGTAATGTAATCAGCAGCAGATGTCTGAAATAAAATATGAATTATGAATATGATGAAATTTCATTCTTGACTAAAAAAAGGCATTTGCTATTTAGTTCATTAAAGGCGCGCAGGTTTGTGAGGGAGCAGGTAGAGGCTGCGGCTGCCTCGCGCTCAAATGGGAGTTCGGAGGGAGGAGGAAATCCCATTAAAGGTGCTCAAATATTCCATTGGGATGATGTGTCCTTTGGGAATGAACGTGTGCGAAAGGAAGGGAGCCCCGGCGCTGGCACCGGCACATCCCATGTCCTGGGGTGCTCCTTGGGATCTGCTGTCCTGCCCTGGGAACCCCGGGTGCATCCGGGCTCATGGCACCGAGGAGCTCAGCCCTTGTCCCTGTCGCTCGGAGGTTCTGGTCTCCAGCGTCCCATCCCCACGGGGACATCCATCGCCTTCTGGCTTGGCCAGGAGCACGGAGCATCCCTTTGTCCCGTGAGCCCAGGGCGTCCATCCCTCCCCGCAGCATCCGCGGCAGTTCCAGCGCTGAAGTTTAAATTGCTTTTCTCTATTCCTCAGTGGCCCCGACTGACAGATAAGCATCTTCTGGAGAGGAAGAGAGATGCGTGTTCATTATTCCCTTGTATTACAGATCCTGTCATTTTAACTCCTTGTGGATGCTGCGAGAAAGGCTGTGCCGGGGCACCAGCTCAGAGCCCTTCCTGCTTCCCACATGTGGTCCCTGAAGGAAGCCTGATTCCTCCCGGAATCTCCTTTCTAAGCAGAGGGCAGCCCCGCTCACCGCAGCGTGCCAGCAGCACCGGTGTCCCCTCTGCTGGGTCACAGTGGCTCCGCTGTGCCTGCACCGGGCGCTGCCAGTGCTTGCCGGCTGCCACGCTCGCTTGCGTGGGTTTGCAGTCCTCCCTCTTCTATTCATCAAGGGCCTGACAGCTAAAATTCATTTGAAGATGAAGAAAGTGCCGGCTAATCCTTTCTGGGAGACAGTGATAGACTAGCGGCTCGGGAAGAATTGCACAGCAGTAATGAAATTAGGCTAAAGCTGCTGGCAGATAGCAGATAATTGTCCTTGTCTGTCACGAGGAATAACATCCCCCCCATCCAACCCAGTGATTGTTAAACTTGCAGGGATTTATTTTATTTTATTTATTTGATGGGCTTGGGTTTGTCTTTCCAGAGGTCTTTTCCTGGGAAAAACGGGAAAGAATGGAAGCCTCGTGCTTGCCTCCTGCCTTCCCAGGGTGCTTCCAGCTCCTTAGCCTGGATGAAGCAGGCAAGGGACACTGCTGAGGGCTGTTCCCAAGAGCAGGAGATGAGCCAGGGGCTCGGTGCCAGCCCTATGGCTATGAGATTGGTGCTGCTGCTGCCGCCGGTCCATCCCCAGCTCCCATTGGCTTTGCCAGCAGGACCTAGAGCTTTCCAGGGCCGATCCACCCCTAAGCACCAGGGATGTGCCTGCGTGGTGCTGGGATGGGTGCCGAGGTGCCCATGCAAACCCCAGCACCACGTCGGGGCTGACCACAGCCGTTTAGTGAGTAATTGATGCGGGCTGGCAGGTGAGTGAGCGCGGCGGCCGGCGCCGGCGATGTTTCATCCGCGCGGGTGATTTACGGCGGCCGGCGCTGACATATTTCACCTCCCGTCTCCCAAATGAAGATTACTGGTGTCTGAGAGTGCCTGAGCACACGCTCCATGCTGCTCAAACGCCCGCAGCCAGCCGAGCGCGGATCGTCCCGGCTGGGGATGGGGAGAAGGGAAGGCTGGACCGCAGCTCACGCACCCCTCGGAGATGCTCGCAGCAATGGGGGAGCGGCACCGGCGCAGAGGCTGGAAGTATTCCGTGC